CTTGGAGGAAGGTGGAGAACCACTGCAAACAATGCCTCATTTCCAACCTTCCAGAAGAATACCACAGTCAATGGTATTGAAGGTCACCAAGAGATCAAAGAAAGCTAGGATGGACACACCACCCCCATCCCAAATTCACCAGAGGTCAATGACAAGCACAAACAAAGCTGTCTCTGTACTGTACCCAGGTCTGAATCCTGACTGGAAAGGGTCCAGATAATCTGATTCCTCCAGGGGCCTCTGAAGCTGAAGGCCAACCACCTTCTCAACAACCTTCCCTAAAGAGGTTGGAAAATTGTCCAGGTTAGCTGGGTCCAAGGATGGCCTCCTGAAGAGGGGGTGCATCACTGCCTCTTTCAGAGCTGGTAGGACCGCCCCCTCTCTCAGAGAAGCATTTACTACCACATGGATCCACTCACATACTTCCTTCCTGGTGGCCCTGACCTACCAGGAGAGGCATGGATCTAATACACAGGTGGCCACACCCACAGCTCCAAGGATCCTGTCCACTTCCTCGGGACCAACAGGCTCAAACTCCTCCCAGATAACATCAGAAAATCGTGCCTCTGTCACCTCCATAGGACCTGCCCAACTGGAGTCCAACTCAGAGCGAATTTGAGCGATTTTATCCACTAGATGTTGAGAATACAGGTAGTCCTCACTTAATGATGGTAATTGGGACTGGCAACTCTATTGCTAAGTGATGCAGTCATAAAGCGCGACATCACATCACCATGCTGACTTCAGATAACAATTACAGCAGTTCCAGTTGCCGTTGTTAGGTAAATTCTACATGGTTGCAGCGTCCCATGATCATGTGATCACCATTTGTGACCTCCTGCCAGCTTCCCTGTTGACTTTGCTTGTTGGAAGCTGGCAGTGAAGGTCGCAAATGATGACCACGTGACTGTGGGTTGCTATGACTTCCGTAATTGCAAATCAGTTGCCAAGTGCCTGAATCACAATACTGTGATTACAGGGACGCTGCGATGGATGCAACTACAAGGAACAATCATGAGTCCCCTCGTTTAGTGCTGTTGGAACTTTGAATGGTCACTGAACAAGGACTATCTGTATTCCTCATAGCAACCTCACAGGTGCTCCACCAATCCATCCTGACCCAGAAGGGACTGGGTTGCCCTGACCAGGGCCGCCGGCCAACAGTGATTGGGCTTTTGTTTTTGGTTTGCCTCAGTTTCAGTAATGAACATATAGATCCTGTGTTTAGCAGCATGAATAATATCTGTTTGGGGTTGCAGTGTGGAATTGAAACAATTACAGATAAACCTGAATTATATTATGCAACTGCACTGCCCAACTATCATTTGTCTCATGAGCCTGACCTGTAATAATTGCCTTCTATAATCCCATCTGTTATGAAATGTTAAAAAGAAAGCAGGTGAAACTTGTAAATATTATCCTGCAAGATTAACTACAACCTGTAAAAAAATAGCAGCTTTTGCTAAAAATAACTATAAAACATGATGCAAAGAAACACAAGAGATAGATTTATAGAATGGAAGGGTTGGAAGAATCTTGGAGACCATCTGAGCAGGTACCACTAATCCAGCCTTCGTTTAAATACTGTACCTCCAGTGAAGGAGAGTCACCTTACCCTGAAGCAGTCCCTTTTCACCGCTGAGAAACTTAAAATCACCTTGGTACCACTCAGTCTTTGAGTGTAAAGTCAAACTTAATTGTAAGAAGCAAAATAAACTCGCCCACAATTGCCACCTTTTGACTCAACACCAATTCCTGGGAACTTGGATGATACTTTAAAGTAGTGAGCAATTGAGTCTAAAGTCTATCAACTTTTCTAGTCATCTGTTCTTACTGTTTTTATGAATTTACACTGTTTTAAACCATATTTCTGTCTGTGACATTATTTTAATGTATTTTTAATACTAAAAGTCAGCATGTTTAGTTGAAACACATCTTGCTAACTCCAATGGCTTTACCATTGGTAAACTGCCATCATCATTCTATGAGGCATATATAAGATTGATTTTAAAACTGGGTAAGGATCCTAAATTTTGTGTCAGTTATAGACCTATTTCATTAATTAATGTGGATACCAAGATTTTAACTACCACATTGGCTCGATGCTTGCATAAGGTCTTGCCAGATATAATTCACCCCTCCCACACTGAGTTTATCAAAAATCATCAGGCATCAGATAATTTATGGTTACTATTTGATGTAATGGATATAGCCATGGATAGAATGGTCTCTGCAATATTAGTATCTTTAGATGAAGAAAAAGCCTTTGATTTGGTTTGGATTAAATTTTTAAAGTAAGTGATGATTAGGTATGGTTTTTCACAGGAGTTTGTCCAAGTGGATTGAGATTTATTATCTGCAACCTTGTGCCAGAGTTATAACAAATCAAACGATTTCAGATTTGTTCCAGTTACAATGTGGTACATGGCACTTTCTCCTTTGCTATTTAATTTGATTCTTGAACCTTTGGCTGCCATGGTAAGGCAATCTTTAAATATTAAGGGTAGTACATTGGTAGGGTGTGTGTATAAATTATTTCCATATGCTGATGATATTTTGGCAATTTTGGACTTATATTCTATTTCTTCGCCTAATTTTATAAAGGTTGTACAGTATTTTGGAAAGTATTCTGGTTTTAAGATAAATCAGGATTAATCTTGTTTATTTCCCTGGGCTCTAATATATCAATACAGTTATGTAAATAAATTGGTTTTGTGATTTCTACTGATTATATAAAATATTTGAAGCTTTATATACCCAAAAAGTATTTCTCAATATGTGGAAATATGCTGAAACTTTTAGAAAGGGCTGAACTGGATATTATTAGATGGCTTAAAATTCCTTTAAGCTTGTGGGGCAAAGTTAATGTTATTAAAATGAATATTGTCCCTTGTTTGATTTATGTTCCTAGAGGTACTCCTATGTTAATATCAAATAAATAAGTTGCTTAGGAAATTTATTTGGTATAGTGGACAATCAAGGTTTTCCTTAGCTAAACAGATTACCATTTGAGAAAGGTAATTTTAATCTATTTGACTTGCAAAAATGCCATTGAGCCAATATTTTATCAGCCATCTGTTGGTGGAATGAAATTTAATTGAATATTATTCCTGATGGGCTAAGTTGGAAAATCTATTTCCTTTGCAATCATGGCAAATGCTTCAAACAACATATAGAGGAAAAGGTGTTTTATTTCCAGGAGTATGAGCAGTGAGAAATCTGTGGGCCATATTGGGATGTAAACTGAGTTTTGATATTGAGACTCATGAATATCTAACTCTATAGAAAAATTCTATTTTGAAAATTGGTGGTACAGGCGGTCCTCGCTTAACAACCCCTTGTTCAACAATCGTTCAAACTTGCAACAGTGCTGAATGAGTGGTACTTATGACCAGTCCTCGAAGCTCCAGCTGTTGCAGGATCCCATGGTCAATGGTTGCCATTTGCGACCTTCTTTGCCAGCTTCCTACAAGCAAAGTCAGTGGGGAAGCCAGCAGGAGGTCACAAATGGTGGCCACATGACATCCTCACTTAACGATCCACAGTGATTTCCTTAACGATGGCAACTGGGAAGTGCCGGAACTGCTGTTGCTAAGTGATGTGGTCCCGTGATGTCGTGTTTTATGACGTTGTTTAGCGACAAAAATTCCAGTTTTAATTGTCTTCATTAACTGAGGACTACCTGCAAATCATTTTATTGGAAAGCTTGGGCAGAAACTGGGATTTTGACTTTAAATCAACTACTATGTAATGATTATTTTAAGGATCTTCCCTGACTTCAAACTGAATTTGGTCTTCCCAATTCGCAGTAGTGGAGGTATCTTCAGCTTAACCATGTTCTAATGGATAAATATGGACCAGATGCTTTGGCTGCCTCAAAGGCACCTGAGTTTCTTTCCTACTTGATGGAATCCATGACAGAAATAAAACTTGTAACCGATCTCTATCAAAAGCTCAAGAATATTTTTAGAGTGGACATTTCTGGGATATTTCAAACATGGATTACATAACTGGAATTTCCAAAAAAGCCACATCAGTGGCTTCATGTCCTTTAAAATGGTATCTATAGAATTGAGATTAAGATTGATTAATCAAAATATTTTATTTAGGATTGATTGGACTTCCTAAAGAATGCATTTGAAAGACTGGACACCAGATATCCTATGCTGGAAGTGTAAAAAAATTGAGGACTCTCTGACCCATATGATATGGGCATGTGATCATTTAGTATCTTTTTGGGATAGTGTATTAATGTATTTTAATAGATTTATGGGAGAATCTTTAAATGTTAGAGATGGTAATGTAACGTTGAATTATATACCAAACCTTTGAAATTTGACTGTTTATCAGGAATGGTGGTTGTATCAGGCACAGGGGATGGCAAAAAGATGAAGAAATTGGAAAAGTGATATTATTCCAGATGTCAACGAATGGCTGTTTTGGAAAAGGCAACACTCTTTACTAATCAAAAGGTGCAGCAATATTTGTTACTATGGCAGAGTTTCTGTGATCTCTTACAATAACATCTTGTATTGTTCATATTATAGTAGTGAATTAATTAGTAAACCAGTGGCTATTTTTAAGTGTAAAATATAACATAAGATCCTTTTTTCCCCTCTTCTTAGTTTGTACTTTTAATTTTTTCAATTTTTTTCTTTAAGATTAATGCTTGTTTTGTTAAAAAAAAAAAAAAAATAAAAACCCCGGGGCTTTTACCCTGAAGGTGCCGGGGACCCCTCAGATGTACTGGGCTTGAATTCCTATCCTCCGCATCCTAGGAGTCTGACCCACCGGAAAAGCGCAGGTTGTTCTCTACGGTGTCTTGGGAAATTCAGCTGGACAGGAGAGGTCGCGGCGGCGATAAGAGCCGGTGCCTCGAGGAGGGATAGACATGCGTTCGTGCGCGCGACGGCTCGGCTCGGGATTATTTCGCCTTCCGCCGGGCCTCCTCCTGGGGAACGGGGCTCTGCAGCCGTCTCCAGGGGAGCTCTCGAGCGTCCTTTCGGAGAGACAAGAGCAGGTGGCCCGCGGCAGCCGCTCGGAGATTCGGTCTGCCCCTTAGAGCCAAAAGCGAAGTGCGCCTGCGCGGCCCCATCGGCCTCGCTCGTGGGCTGGGGGGAGCTCCGCATTCAGTCAGGATCGGGCCGGGCGGGGAGGCTGGAGTTTGAGGTGGGGGGCCTCGAGATCGTTATCTGCATCTGGGAACCACCCAGCCAGAGCCGGCGGCGCGGGCGCTTTTCCGCCGCTCCCCTCCCGCCCCGCTTCTCTGCGAGACGTGCAAACGAGCTGAGTGAGTAATTCGTAATTCTTTATCACCACCGAAGGCTGCCGCCGGCTGGCATACTTTGTATTATGATGATCCTTTTTTATTGCTCTTGTTATTATTATTCCTTCGCTCTTCCTGCCTTCTCCCGCTCCGCCGTCCCTTTGTGGGTCCTCTGAACTCCCAGCTCTGCCTTTCTCAGGAAAGCTTAAAGTTTTGGACTTCGGGCTGCCTGGGAGCGAATCCACCCGACCAGGCAGGAGAACAAAGGGAAAACTGAGGCAGTTTCTGCCTGCCGGTCGCTACGCGAGCCGTCCCCCCTCTCCGCCCTTTTTTTTTTTTTAGGAGACTAGAGTCCTGGCAGAGGAAATAATGGAGTTGATGGGAAGGTGGCGGAGGCTTATGGAAATAGAGGTCATCTGGGGTGCTTTAAGGTTATGGCCGTAGGCTCACTTAACTGCCAATGAAGTCCGTGGGACTTACTTCAGAGTAAGCGGGCTTGGGATTGGTCGGGAAGTCTTGAGTACCCAGAGGATAAGATTTGTGAACCCAGCGTGTGTACAAGCAGTTCTCTTTGTGGTAGAGACGCCTCTGTGTGGGGAACATTATTATGCAGGCTGCTACATGGGGATGGAAGCTGTCGGGTTAACCGATTTTCTGTGCTTTCACTGGGTTTCCCAAGGCATTTTTTTGTTTATTTTTTAATTCCAGTACGTGACAGTGTCTTTACACACAGCTCAGCAGATGCACACCAAGGCTGGAATGGAGCTAGCTGCTTTATAATAGGACTGCTGGATATGGGCTACCCAAAACAAAAAACAATCAGAAAATTTAATGCTGTCTTCTTGTGGTTGTCTGGCTTTTTGCAGCTCAGATCTGGTAGTCCTCTCTTTGAGGTGAGGACACAAATGCTCATTTTCTTCTCCTAAGCAATTTCTTCTGTTCTGTACCCCAATGGTGCTTGAAGTAAATGTACTCTAAGCATTTAAAATACATGTTTGAAATTGTATTCATTTGTTTTGCAGGTTATACCATCTGCAGTTCAATAATGCTATCAGAAGCTCTTTGTTTTCAGTATTTCTTTCCCTGTTTGGGGGAGAGTGTCCTAAAACCCCAGCCTTTAGTATTAGGAGCCAATTGTGGATTGTGTTCAGATAATCTGTTTTCTTAATATTTATAATTGAATATTTCATCTATTAATTTTAGCTGTGAAAATAAAGCAATATGTCAAGTTTTGCTCTGGAATAAACAGAAATAAATACAAGGTACTTATTGTTTGGGGGAGGCGTTAGATGTTGTAAAAATTATGTGGGAAAGAAATAGAAGAACTTTACTTAATGCTGCCCTCAGATGTCTGCCTACTTTTTATGGGGCAGATTATATATGAATATATATAAATGACATGCTTGTCAGAATATTAACACTGATCCACACTTAAGCTGGGTTTAAACAATTAGGAGAGGGATTTTAATGGAGATCAGGGGATTCCAGCCATTCTGTGTTTCTATTCTGAGGTGAGAGCCTGATTATAGTGTGTTCTTTTCTAGCCCCAGGGAGCAGCAGCTGGAAACTACTACTACTGTGAGAAGACAAAAGCAGCGTGCTGATCTTCTTTGCATGATTTCTCTCCCCCTCCCCCTGTATTGATAGACTTGTCATCTGAAGACTTTAATCTGGAAACAGGAATAGGACATCTTCAGACTCTATAGTCTTATTACCAATGATGCAGGCAGTCAAGGACCCTCATCTAGAATGGCAGGGCTTCACTAGAGGCCATGTCGGATTGAGTCTGCTGAGGGGGAGTGACCTAGTTCATTTTGTTTAAAGGTCAGTTGCTGGCAAAGGAGAGCACTGCTAAGAAGGATGGAACTACAATAAAGTCTGCTAGACGTGTGCTCTCATGTGTTCATGTAACAGCATTGAATTGTAGGCTCTCTTTTTCCAGAGTAGCTTGGAGAGATCTGGAAAACCATAGGGGATGATTGCTCTTGGGCTGAAAAAAGCAAAAATTTGAGCAAGGCCATGCATATAATAGGGAATTAGTAATTCAGCCAAACTAAGCTTGCTCTCAGCATGCTTTTATCAAGAATAAAAAAGCACCAGCATCCAAACTCTCTTGGGGAGCAGCAACCAGAAAAGCAAGATGAGAATTCTCGGTCCAAAAGCTTGCCAGTTCTGAATGGGTCTGTTCCACAGATTAATACCACACAAAGTGCTCTCATCATAGCCAAAAAGAACTTCTTACAGAGTTTGCAGGGGGACTCTGATCAGAGGTGTGGCCTTGACCCCGATACATCAGCACATCACAATAATGTTGCTGCTACTGCTACTTCTTCCAGGACAATGTTGTCTTTTACAGCTTCCAGCTTTTCAAGAATTGGGAATTTCACTGAAAGAGTGGATTGCAACAACTCTGCTAGATTAAGTAATGGTGTGTCACCAGCTTCCACACTGCTAGTAATCCCTGGTAGAAAATATCTTGATATAGTATTGACAGATTCTCGGTTCTTTTTGATATGTATGTGCTTCTTGACTTTCATTCAATCGCTAATGGTCTCTGGTTACCTGAGCAGTGTTATCACTACCATTGAGAGGAGATACAGCCTGAAAAGCTCTGAATCTGGGCTGTTGGTCAGCTGTTTCGATATTGGCAGCCTGTTAGTAGTGGTCTTCATCAGTTACTTTGGGGGGCAAGGGCGAAGGCCTCTATGGCTTGCTGTTGGAGGGTTATTTATTGCCCTTGGGGCTGCCATATTTTCTTTACCTCATTTCATCTCTGCACCGTATCAAATCCAGGAATTAAACTCCTCTGTTTCTAATGACGGCTTGTGTTTGACTGGAAATAATTCATTGAAAGGGCATGTGGAATCACCAGGCTGTATGAAGGATGCACATGGAAATGACCACTCACTCTATGTAGCTTTGTTTATTTGTGCCCAAATCCTCATTGGAATGGGCTCCACACCTATTTATACTCTAGGACCAACCTACTTGGATGATAATGTCAAGAAAGAAAACTCATCACTCTATCTAGGTAAGGTTGCTATGTGTCCAAATTGTTGTGTGATTATTTTGAAGCGGGCCAGCTTCCACTTTAAAGCTCCCAAACCACTGCAGTAGCTTTAAATTACTTGAATTTTGCTTATATATATATATAGCAGCTAACATTTGCCAGAATAAAGACTTCAGTAGCTGTTACTTAATCCTCTAAAAACTTTGTTCCATTATCTCTTATCCTGTATTTTCTTCCATTTTTAAATCCCTATGGAAGCAATTGAAGAGGTACTTATCTCTTACACTGAGGGAAGTGGAATGTGAAATTGGTTCCTTTTCAATGGATTATTTATGTGATTTATATTCTGCTTTTCATTAAAATAAATGTTTAAAGCAGTTTATATTTAAACCATTTTATCATGTATTTTTAACCCATACACACACAAACATAAAAATTGTAATAATAGGAAAACCAGCAATAATAAATATTAGGGTAGCTGGTTAAAAGCCTGAGAGTGGTAATCTAAGGAAAGCTGAAACAAGCAAAGAGTTTTCAATTTACTGTGGACATGTTACAATTTATAGTGCGAGCTTGCTTAACATCCATGGATTGTGCCCAATTTCATTCCTGATTTTTAAAATACAGTGAGCAGATTGTTAGGATGTTTCAAATCTTTTAAATAGTTCCTGATTAAAAACTCGAGTTCATGTAGAATTTTGATCCTTAAAGCCAGGAATATTAAAAATGGTTAGAAATGCTGTTGGTCAAGACTTTTCTCTCTGTGTACCAGCTACCAAACTGAAATTGGAATGTTATAGTGATATTAGTTTCCTCAGAGTTTCAGATGAACTAAAACTTCGAAATCAGTTGTTCTGTTCTTACAGAATGCCACAATCTCCATTTGAAATTAAGTGCAAACTAATGTTTATCTAAACCAGCATTTGATCCAAAACTGTTATTTAGCTATATAATTATTTTCTGATGTATTGTCAAGAAGCAACTGGTTAACTAAATGCTTAATTTCCAAAGAGTATTTTTCTTTTTTTGCTGAAATATAAACCAAATCAAGAAAATTTGAACAGTTTTAAGATCAAAATATATTCAAGTATAAAACTATATCAGAAATTAACTTCTGAGATTTATTTTTTTATATGTGTATGCATTTTTTTTCTGAAGCATGGAAAACGCAGTGGATTTATTCCAGTACTGGTGTAAAATTATTTACATTTCACATTGATGATCATTCAGTTAATTAGATCTGAAAGGTATTAATGTATGCATGGGTAATATATTAACTAAATAATATAAACCAGTTTTTCCCAGCTTCATGACCTCCAGAGGTATAGCACTAGAACCCCCATAATTCTTGGTTAGATATTTCATTTGATCAGATGTTTTATCGTATTTCTGTGTTGTCACATTGGGTCAGCCAACCAGACTAATAGTAACAATTTTTAGGACAGATATTTCCATATCTTTTTAGTTCTTACTCTGTATTTCTAAAGTCAGTTTAAAAACTCTTGTCATCTTCTCTTTTTTTTTTTTTCATTATCAGCTAGAAATAGCTACCCTGATTCTTTTACTTGGAAAAATAGTTCAGTGTTAAGTTTTCAAAACAGGTGGTGAAACCACTGGACGTTCATTCTGCAATGAAGCTTGTCTTATTTTTCTTTAATGAGAAGAGGAATTGTTGATATCCATGCTATTGGCTGAATGAGAAAATGCCATAGAATATAATAATCTCAGCCTCAATTACATAAAGATCTGCAGAATGGACGGCTTGAGTTCATAATCTTTTTTTCCTGCTGTGAGACCTTTTTTCTTTTTTTAAGTAAAATACTAAATTTCTTTTTTAAAAAAAGTTGCGAACACTTCCTTTTTTTTTTTTTTCTCAAGGGGAGGAACTAAAATCTGGTTAATTCTTACACAAATGATGGGGGGGAAAGCCTACCTATGTTTGTTTCTTTTTTTCCTTTCCCCCGGTCAGGACTTCTGTTGTTCCCATACCATTCCAATTGTTGATGTATCTAGTGACCTGACACATTTTTCCCAGAATGTCCTGAGTTAAATGTTATGACATTGCTTCCTTGGGAACACAAATATGATTCCTAGCATTGGACAACACATCCTACAGTGTGAAAAGTTTATTCTTAATGTCAGCTCCCTATTTTTACATAATACTAGATGATATTATATTACTGCTTCTTTGTTTCTATGATTGCATTCTGGATTACTGTATTCTCTAATGGACCTTTAAATCCTATTATTGTTTAAAAGCAGATTTTATACATTTTGTATGCAAAGCTGCAGCAGCTACAACAATAAAACCAGGAAGTTTTAGTGTAAAACCAATAGTTCAGCCTAAGTTTAGCTATTTTTGCCATCCAGCTATTCAATAAAATAATACAAAAATATACATTTTAAATGTGTTTACAATATTGTGAAAGGATGTTGAGCATTTATGTCATTTAATTAAATGAAAATACTAGTTCTAGGTGGAAGTGCTTGTTATTCTATAAAATTATTGAGTGACTGACAACCAGTAAGCTAAATCTTTATCTAGGCAAGATGGAAGCAGTTTGAATAGCCAATTCAGGTATTTTAAAGAAATTTAGATGGTATGGATGAGTTCTCATTTACTCTACTGGCAGAGGGTTGTAGCTAAGATCTCCTAGCTGGAGAACTAGGCAGTGGTTGTAGCTAGAATTGCTTTTACCATCTTTATCTGAAACATCAAAACATACTTTTCTTTTACACAGGAATCTTGTTATGATTTGTATATGCATAATATTCAGAACTGGTCTTTGCCAAGTCCAGTTTAACACATTGGTCTAAATGTGTGCATTGTACTTGTGATCTAACAGATAATCCTATTCCATATTACAAGGCTGAGAACAGAAAAAGTGAAACTGGCATACACGGAGAAGTTGGCTGAGGTAGCGTGAGTGTCCTTGTACTACTGACAAAGCTTCAGTTTCCTTTTTCAGGCATAGCACCTGAACAGGACTGTGGTCTTTAGAGGAAGCCTTGGTGAGACCTCTGTCTTTAAAGGGAAAAAAAAATCACAACAAAGCAGATGCTCTAGTATTATGGACTGTAGCCAACTCCAACATGAATATCATAAATTGATAGTAACCTCTACTTATTCCACTCTAACTTTGTTTCAAGAATTTCTGCACTTTCAATAAAAAAATCCCAAGAACATGCAAAACAAGAAGTTAACAATGTTTGTGCTATGTTAAGCACTCAGAATGTCATTCTTTGAAAATTGAGGCAGCTATGTCCACTGTGAGGCTTGGGGTAGCTGCTTTAGAGGCTTTCCCAGACCATCTGCTTGTAAGTATGCAAGGAAAGACAAAACTTCTGTTTGAACTGAAATAGTAAAATAGCCGAACATACATGTGCATGTGCAGATGACCCAGGAAAGCTTTTGAAGAAACTGCTCCAAGCTCTCCACAGGATGCTGCTGCTGCATCAGTGCTTCATGGAAGAGAATTTCATTCATGCCAGTACACTCCTTGAAATACCCTTCAAATGTTTTGCACAACCTTAAAAGCAATAATAAGCACAACTGCAATAATAAAATTGATACAAAAGCCTAAGTAAAGCAACCCTGGCGATTTTAGAAAAAAATCATCTAGTATAAGTAGCCAGTTTGGTGTAGTGGTTAAGGCACCAGGCTAGAAACCGGGAGATTGTGAATTCTAGTCCTGGCTTAGGCACAAAGCCAGCTGAGTGACCTTGGGCCAGTCACTTTCTTTCAGCCCTCGGAAGAAGGCAATGGCAAACCAGTTCAAAAAAACCTTGCCAAGAAAACTGCAGGGAATAGTCTAGGCAGCCACCAGGAGTCAAAACTGACTCAAAGGAACACAAATAAATAGTCCACAATTTTTTTTTAAATAGCTTAACACCAAAAGACAAAGGAGAGAGTTCCTCTGATTTGTTTGATGGCATCTACTCATTTTATCTGTCATCTTTCATTTCTTATATGGTACTTCCTTCAGCCTTGTTAAGAATAGTTGTGGTTTCTAATCATTATCTGCTCGTATCACATGCTAGAATTTTGTGAGTTTCTTGCTAATTTGTCACCTAAATGCTGCTATAAGTCTTTATTTCATTCAAGACCAATGGTATCCTCAGTAAATGTCCCTGATCCATAATTCAAAGATGTCTCTCTTCTTTTTCTTACTCTGTGTTCAATTTTCTTTGCTGTATATTACATTATAATTGCTTTAACTATTCTGATTTTTGTTGTCATAGGTACGCCTTGATCCTTTCTGTGTTTGTCACTGTGTTCCTTTCGAGGATTAATCTTTTTTTTTTTAACATCTGCAGCACACTGTCCATCATCTTGAGCCCAAGGAAAGAAAATCACCTATCATATTCACTTCTTCACTATAAGTTCACTATCAGCTATGAGTTCGCTAAACATACTGTTTGACTGACTTTTGTCTTCTTAATATATTTAACCCCATTCAGGGACTGAGTGGTGATATAATATATTCCTAAGTGCAGATGTGCAAATTCAAACTGGGCAGCTGTTTAACATTCCTGACTGTGTATCCTCTGCTAAAAAAATGCACTTGATGCTTATACATCATCTCTTGGCTGCCTCACTTACTGTGTATCTGTCAGGGTGACATTGTGCAAATATACAAAATAGTATTATTTCTTCTTAGACTGAGGTGTTGTCAGGCCCAGCCCAAGAACGACAATGAGGTAGTCCAGTCCAGTATAGTTCTTTTATTAGCTTGCACCTAATAGACAGAATCTCACCAGATTAAACCTATGGTAAAGCAACTAGTGGATATACCCCGTGAGATTAGGGAGGGGCCAGTCACAGCTGCTTCCTATTCTCACAGTCCTGCTGCGGGCTGAGGAAGTGCTTGCTCTGTAACCTCTCCAGGAGTGCTCCCCCTCCCTCCTGATAACCTTGATCCTCCATTCCAGTATCCTCGCACATGCCTTCCATTACAGGTATCCAGCAATAATATATTTATCAGAATAAACCATCCATTCCTTTCCCTCCTCCCTTTCTG